ATATGATCTTGCATCTTCGAAGATCCTTCCAATCGAAATACCGACCTTGTCAAAGTTAAAATATGATCCTACATCTTCGAAGATCCTTCCAATCGAAATGACGACCTTGTCAAAGTTAAAAGATCCTAACTTTCCATTGATCCTGGCATTGAAAAGAAGATGCCTTGATGTCCTTGCGCTCCTTGGATCCTTTGAAGAAAGTTCGCTACGACACGGGAGTGTAAGTGGTAAATCCAAATCTTTTAGAATCAAATGTCCTCTACAATTGGCGCTACTTTTTACAGAGAGAGAGGAAGGAAGAAAGAAGTACTCTGCATACAACAAAATTTGATCAGATTAGATTTAATGAAGATCACTCTCATCGATCTTGGATGGTACTCTATCCATCTTGAAGCGGTGTCCATCCATCCATCCAGCAAAATGTATCCATTCATCAAAATCCATCCATTCATGAGCAGGAAACGTGTCTATTTCTGAATTTTCAGATACAGAACCACTCTACAACTGCAATAAATCTTCAATCTAGAAGAACACCAACACCAACTCAACTCTCATCTTTTGTCATCGCTAATACAACTGGTGCTGCGTGACAATAAAACAAATAAGACGAATATCTATCACTTGTTATATACTCATATTTATTAGAATAATCTTCTCCCAAGATTTTTCTCTCATCTCAACAACAACACTCAAGATGAAGACTGCCTGTGCTACACTCCTCCTTGCCGTTGTGCCTTGTTTGGCGATGACCGTGACTCCTCGTGCTGATTCTGATGAAGGACTTCCTCGTTGCGGTGATCTCGCGGCCAACGTCATTGAACGCAACTTCGCAGCTCAGGCTTCGGTGCCGGCGCCTGCCGCGCGTACTGGTCCAGTTCCTGCCGCTCCTGCCGCCGCTCCTGTCGAACAGCCTGTATCGGCTGCCGCTCCTGTCGAACAGCCTGTATCGGCTGCCGTTCCTGTCGAACAGCCTGTATCGGCTGCCGTTCCTGTCCAACTACAGCCTGTATCGGCTGCCGCTCCTGTCGAACAGCCTGTATCGGCTGCCGATCCTGTCCAACCACAGCCTGTATCGGCCAGCATGGCTGCTGGCGGACCTCCTCCCCTGCCTCCGCCGGCTGCTACTGCTCCTCACATGCAGGACCTGCACTCGTTTAATATGAATGCCGCTCCTGTCCAACTACAGCATGTATTGGCCAGCATGGCCCCTACTGGCGGACCTCCTCCCATGCCTTCGCCGGCTGGCTCGCCTCCTCACATGCAGGACCTGCACTCGTTTAATATGAATGATGTGTCTCAGGTGGTCGGAGCAGCTGAACTCTCACATGCGATGGAGCAAATGCAAATTTCCGATGACTTCCTGCAGGAGCATATCAAAAAGGTAATGGCGAAGAAACTGTCCGAATTGAATCAAGCTAAGGCCTGGAAACGGTTGGAAACTTGCCAACAAAGCGAACAGGCATGCCTGAAGGAAACCCGAGAGCGAGCTGCTGAGGATCTGGAGCAGACAAAGAGGTCAAACCAAGAACAAACGAAGGACTACACGCAGCGCCTGCGAGAAATTGAAGAGAAGGTTACGACAGGGCTTAGTGAGCAGCAGCAAGTTTTTAAGCTTGTCATGAGTTTCTTGATGACAGCGGAGACGCTGGTCGACGAAAACGGACAAGAGGCAGCTGGCGGCGACGCTGATCATGCTCGACTCGTGGACGAGGTTCGTTCTCTCATTCAGAAAAAAATTGAGCAGCAGATCGAGATCCAGCGTCGACTAATGGTTGTGGACGATGATGAAGATGGCAAGTTTGAGCGTGCTGTTTCTGCTGAAATATGCAAAGCCTTGGGACGCACGCTGAGACGCAAGATTGGCAATTTGTGGAAGGTCTACCTTGCTTTCGCGCGCGATGTATTCCAGGTCAAAGTAGCTCCAACAGCCGCAGCAACTCTCGATAATCTTCGCCACGTGCAAGAAGACGTCGAAAAGGAGTTGGAGAACTGGGTGGAAGACATGCTCACAAATGATGCCGGTCGCGCTTCTCGCCTCCTCGACCGATTGCAACACTTGAACCGCGTCGGCATGAATTAAGGCACTGGTGTTATTCTTGTCACGACAAGTTTTAGAAGTACTTGATGTTGTTACAGAGAGGACGTGCTTGCAAGGCCTCACCCTGGACGATGATCATGATTAGATCGGGGCCAGAGGTAGCGCAACGCGACACCTTGTATTTATTTTAAAGTATTCGAAAACTGAAAATAATATGCGACTTACTGACTGAAATAAGAGAGTCTTGCTCCTGACTACATTCCTCTTCT